AAAAAAAAAAAAAAAAAAAAAAAAAGAAGTTTTTAAGTCTTCAATCCAGTATCTTTTTGTTCTTAAGGTCATCGCCACATACATAAAGCATTTTTTGCGTTTCCCATGCCCCATTGTATACTTAGTCAAGGCTTATTAACTTGTTCCTTTGAATCAATTGACAAGAAATACAAATCAAGAAGCTGTGACGATTTCTGTAATCAAAATTCAAAGTAAGCTAGAGTCAAGGTTCGAACTCAAGACTTAAACTTACGGTGCAATGTGTCTGTTAACCAGCAAAAAGTAAATCCTCCAGAATTTTCTCTCTTTCATAATGCGTGGACACAATTCATAACGTAACGTAGAAATTTCCTGCCACGTTACATAAAAATGGTTAAAAAGCATGTACATTGCAACAAAGCATGTTATCAACGAAAATGTAAATTCATTTCTCAAGCTCATCCACAATGAACTGTGAAATCAAAGTTCCTCTCCAGTGGGTAGAGAAAGCCACATTCATCTTCACTGGTGACATGTTCATAATAGTAATACCTTGACAGTTGAAAGAACAAGGCTTGCATGCTTCGTCTGCCACACAGTTAGATCCTGACTAATGTTTGAGACTGTGGGGATATTGGACACTTGTGAATCATCTACGCAAAGGGAAATAAACCAGTTTAGAAACAAGGTCTAGGTGACAGAGAAAATAGAACATATTACAGCTATTCCAATTAAGGTCTTCGGATGGTTCATGCCAATGAAAGTAGTTCTTCAAATTCAATGGCCCCCTCTATTGAGATTTAACCTTCGGTGTTCGTCAATTCAGTATCAGTTAAGCCTAACAATCTTCATTTCTAGAGCTTAAATGCTTGATGATCGCTGACTACATACTTCCCCTGCGTTACCTCCAACCAATCCCCCTACTGATACTTAGTTCTATGATCCTCAAACTTACAACCAACTAGCCAAGAGAACGGAAAATTCAAGAAAACGAATCAGTTACCTTCGAGTGGGAAATCCCGAAATGTACTCATGGTGATGCCTTTGACAAAGTCCCTCAGCTCTTCGTTTATTCCAAACTTCTGCAAATCCTCCTCCTGCATCTCTACTTCGGAAGCGTTCTTCTCAAGAGCGCCAGACGACGGAGTCCCCCCGACCAAGTGCTTGATTAGATCGGCTCGCTTAGCAGCTTCTGCTTTAATTTGATCAGCTCGCTTCGAGGCTTCAGTAGCGAATTCCTTGGAGCGTTTAGCAGTCACGGAAACGATATCGGACAAACTAGAGGATCCAATCGTGAGCTCTTGGGAACGCCTTGCAGCTTCCAGAGTCAGCTCTTGAGAGCGCTTCGCTGCTTCCTCGGCGAAATTCCGAGCTTTGTTCCAAAAATCCATGGCTGAACCTGAACGTCGAATCTAACTTCGCGCGCTCTCTGCTTCTTCGTTTCGGTCTCGTCGTCGACGGGAGGAGAGAAGAGGAAGGACGAGATCCAGTGAGGGAAGGCACACAATTTCACGCTGGTCTAGGTAATAAATATTGCATGTCGCTAATTGGAATATTAAAAATAAAATAAAATAGTTTAATATTTCAATAGTTTAATAAACGACAAAACGAAAAACAACAATGCGGGGATAGCTCAGTTGGGAGAGCGTCAGACTGAAGATCTGAAGGTCGCGTGTTCGATCCACGCTCACCGCATATTTTATATTTTTTGTTTTCTCGACACGTGTCCGTCCTTTTTTAATGGGCTTTCATTTCATTCCAAGTTAATTTGGGCCTACTTCAGGACTTACAAATGGCTCTATTTTTATTAATCTAAACTATTTTTTTTATATAATAATAATAATAATAAAAAGAAAAGATAATATTAAACCTAAAACGAAGGCGCACATTCTTAGTTTAAGTGGGAAGGAAAAGTGTAAGAAGGAATTGAAGGCGGAAGGGTTGGGGTGTAATCCATGTGCTGTGACTTTTGTACTCATACTTATCCATTGGGAGTTCGAAGAAGCTTCCACGACAGTCCCATTCCTTCCTCTTCCAATTATTCTCCAATTCCGCCATTTCCCCACAGTTTCCTCTTTAGAAACTCGAGCCCCCTTGTCCTGTCTCCCTTAAAAGCTCTCCCCTGTTCACCATTCTTCCACGTTTCTCTGCAACTCTTCCATTCCTCCAACCCCCTCTCGCCACAACACTCACCCCATCCCACTACTCAACGATCTACCCAATGCACTCCCATTGACCCATTTGAATCTTTTCCAATCTTCAATCCGTCTTATGAACCGCAAAATTTCCCAAAACCCACTTGTGAATTCGAACAGAGATCCAGGGTCCTCCGTGCCGGAACTGAAGAATCACTCAAATTTTCACTCTGCGGTGTAAGGTCTCGCCGATTTAAGGTTCGGTTCTTCTGTTTTTCCTCTCGATTTTAACTCTTTGTAGGGTTTTTGTTTCTTGTTGGATTGGGATTGTTTCGTCTGATTTTATTGGGGTTGTTCTGAAGCTAATGTAGTGTGAATCGAAGTGGAGATTAGACTCGATTTTTGTTCCTTTTTTGAATTAGGGTTTTTTTTCTTTGTGTGAATGTTTTGTACTCTGGTTTCTAGGAATCATGATGGTTATGGATGTGATGAGCTCCAAGAGACAAAGGCGTCCAAATGTAAGGCTAGGGGAAATTGGGGATATATCTGCGGCTTGGGCTTGTGGGTTTTCTCATAGCACTAGAGATAAGTTAGCTCATAGGGAATGGAAACATGATTTACTCCAAACTGTGGGTGATGATGATGATAACCCCATTGTTTTTGGGGACTTGGAGCCTTCGACTCCCAAGCTCACTGTCTCTGAGTTGGGTGCCTCTCCACAAATTTCAACAGAGTTGCAGCAGAATGGAGACAACAATAATAACCCCAATTCTTCTGCATTGCCTTTGGAATGTCCTCCAACTTCTGCTGGACTGAAGTTTAGTGATGTGACCAGGAAGTGTAGAAATATGAAGCGTCGGGGGCGTAGTCGAAACGTTGGCTACGTCGTTCTTGGTGGCAGTTGGAGCTCGAAACATAGCTCAGATGACTGCTCGATGAATGAGAAGGAATGTGAGGGGACACGTAATTCTGCTAATGGTTATGGTGACTTCTCTGATCACCAGACACCAACCACTAGTAAAGAGGAATGTGGCATTGATCAACCCTCGACACGACAAGATCGTGAGTTAAACAACGATTCGCAGTTCACTGGTGAGAAGGGTAGACACAAATCTGGCATTGTGCAGGATCAAATGAGATTAAAAGATGACGATACGAATGCTGTCAGTAGATGGTTAGAGGAGGTAGGATTTGGCAAGTATGCTGGGGTGTTCGAGATGCACGAGGTGGATGAGGAGGCTTTGCCACTGCTGACCATTGAAGATCTCAAAGAGATTGGCGTGTTTTCTGTCGGCTCTCGGAGGAAGTTGTATAATGCAATCCAACAGTTAAGAGAAGGCGGAGGAGAAGGAGAAGGAGAAGGAGAGGAATAAGGTATCTGAAAGCTTAGAAAGCGAAATGCGCACAGAACCACAGAAACGCTCGCGCTCTTTTAAAAGTTTATCGTTCGATTGTGCAGGAAAAGACCATGGATGTACATATACCTCTAACATCTTTTGTATTGGCTACATGCCTGAACACCCTTAACTTCCTTTTGGCAGTAAAGTTAATGGCTTCATTTTGAAGAAAAATAATGAGATTCTTGTGTTCTTCATTTTGGTGTTGCTGCTTTAGAGTTAAACTAGCAATGTTCCTGCATATCTGAGTGTCATTCTTTCCCAGTTTGGGATTGAAAGCTCTTGGAATGGAAAGAAAATTGGATTTTCATTTGAAATTTTTGTTTGAGAAAGCCTGATGATAGACCTATTTTTGTACTGATAAACGCTTTAAATTTGCTCACCTAACACATTCTCTGCTTGCACTGTCAGAGTTTAAGCTTGACAAGATGAACCCCAGCAGGATGAAGTGCGCTACTCATCCAAAGAGGCTCGCAATCGACTTGGTTCGACATATTGTTACTTATCAAACTAAGTACTCGTTAGAATGACTTTCTAAATGTTTTACAATTTTTATCTTTGTCGTTTTTGTTTTTGCACTCTTTCTCTCTGTCACGGTAGAGGCTCGATCATAAGTCATTGTTGAAAAGGAGTGAGAACAACACGAGAGTTATAGGTGATCAATAAAATAGTGAGCAAAGAGAAACGAGTTAGAAAAACTTGGTGATGCCTAATCTAAACACAAGGCCAATACTATCAATAAAATAGTTATAAAATCTACTTCATTTCCTTCTAGATTTTATTGGAAGAACGCAAGTTGAGTGACTTGAGTCCCACATCGAAAGATTCGTGAAAGAAAGGGTGGCAGCAGACTATAAAATAGATACAAGAGATCCCTTAAAACCATACTTACCTGGACGGGGTCGACGGGCGATCAGTAAGGCTCATGTCCTAGGTTGGTGACCACCATTGCACTACGGAGGGGTGCCCGCCTAAGGTCTGCCCACGTGGTAGAGCCTACGTCATAATTTGTGGTAGTGGAGGCCTGCGTTCGCGCGGCCTCTACCTAATTTATAGGCCCAAGATTGGCCCATTTACATATTGGGCCTAGCCTTTCAATTTTTTAGCCGATCCTAACGTCCGTATATTAAATTATATAAAAAAATCTTTTTAGTTACGTACACTTGGCTTTTAGGTTTTTTTTTTTTTAATTTTAAAAAATAGTTTATGTAGTTTTTTCTATTTACTAAAAAAAAAAAGTAATTATAAATTATTTTAACAGAACTAAAAATAAAAAAGCCTAAAATAATGACTCACCACTGTTGGAGTCGGGTATTAGGAGTTTTATTCATATTACTTAATGGATTAACTTTTTACCCAAATTATTAATTAATTGGAAAAAGAAAAAAAAAGGTATAACAGACTAATTCAGTTAAATACAAAAAAGAAAATCTTTTCTTTTGGTAATAATGGAGAACTGAGATTGAGATATATAAGGAAGACTTAAATAAACGAAAAAGACCCATAAAATAATTGAAAATGTAATAAAATGAAAAAGGGGAAAATGGATAAATATTTGATTTAATATCTAAAACAGAAAAAAAACATCTAAAAATATAGATTAATAGTTGGGGATTGGGTGGAAACTGGAAAGAGCTTGGTCTGCATGTGCACAATATCAATGCAAAGCTGGCCAGACGGCGACATTCTTCAATTCCCTCCAAATTACCATCTTGCCCTCCCTTCCCTTCCTATGTTTTCTCTCTCATTCCTTCTTCTTTTGACCTTCGCTGTAATTTCGCTATTGAATAGTATATTCCTTTTTTAAACCTACCTTTTTAATTAAATATAATAATTATATAAATTTCAGTTTTTTCGGTTCGCACAGACAAATCAGTTTGCCATAATTGCCATTCCAACTCATGCCATTATGTCCATTATCTTAATAATTCATCGAAAATTACCCATTTTATTAAAATATTATTTAAACTTCATTTTCATGTATTTTCATTAAAAATACAAACACACATTAAATAAAAGAAATCTATATCTCAAATAATTGAAATTAAACCCCATGATTGAAGAAAATGAAGGGAGAGAGATAGACATAATTAAAAAGGGAAAAAATGAAAGAAAAAAAAAGGAATATAACAAAAAGAAAATAAATAAATGAAGAGAGAGATATTTAAATTAAAAAAAAAAAAAAAAAAAAAAAAAAAAAAAAAAAAAAAAAAAAAAAAAAAAAAAAACT